CATTCTGTTTTCCAGTGATGCTGCAATTATTTGAAAACATTTTTTTCCTGGGTAGAGGAAAGCCTTTGCTATGTATAAGGAATAGAGGAACTTTCCAAAAATATAGTCTGGCACAATGAGGTCCCTATATATGGCATTAAAACGACGTCTATTTTTTATGAGAATTTTTTCACTCCCCTCTTTGTTCCTTTTGTCTGTCTCTCTGCCTTTGGTTTTCATTCTGATCTCTCATCAATTTTCATTTTAATTTTATCATTGGATTTTCTTCTCTATTCCTTTTTTCCTAAGCAGAACTCAGTGATGTTTAAGTCAAACTTTCAAACCCCCATATTCCAGTGGGTTCGAAATTAGATAAAAGGGATTCACTTGTCCCCAGAAAATTTGAAAAGAGTGGAAAAGGTTATAATAAAAAATGGTGACTTCCCTTTAAGCCAGTGTTTCTCAAACTGGGGTCGCAGCTTGTGTAGGGAAAGCCCCTGGCGGGCCAGGCTGGTTTGTTTACCTGCCCCGTCTGCAGGTCCGGCCGATCGCGGCTCCCACTGGCCGCGGTTTGCCGCTGCAGGCCAATGGGGGCTGCTGGAAGTGGCAGCCAGTAAGTCCCTAGGCCCGCGCCGCTTCCAGCTGCTCCCATCGGCCTGGAGCAGCGAACCGCAGCCAGTGGGAGCCGCGATCGGCCGGACCTGCGGACGGGGCAGGTAAACAAACCGGCCCGGCCCGCCAGGGGTTTTCCCTCCTTTAGCGGCGACCCCAGTTTGAGAAACACTGCTTTAAGCAGTGCTTACAGGCAAATACCATGGTTTAGATGTTTTCCAGGTGACCATGGAACACATGCTGACTGTAAGGACAAAAGTAGAGCTTTCATTGACTTCAATTGCCTTTCCCCTTGAAAAACAATCAGAGTTCTTAAGGGCAGGAGGCCACCTCTGATTGAGGACACTTTTAATAAACAGCAACTTTTTATTATCACTACTTTCCAAAAATTGCAATACTGGGAAATGTTCAATATTCACAGCTGACTTGAATGTGGGCAATGTACATGCATACAAAAGTGGATTTTCATTCCATGTTAACTGGTAAAACTCCATAATTCCTCCATGAAAAGGGAAAAACCAACAACCACAAACCTGCTTAGCCTGAGTAAACTTTAAAAACATAATAATAGGTGCCAGAAAGTATTGGCATGGACAGTTCCAGAAGCTGTGTGTTAAACACTGGGAAAGTACATCTTTAACAATAGCTTTAAATAGAGATAATGAAGACAAAAGTATAATCTGAACCATATTTAAAGGGCATCATTAGTCACCTTTGCCAAATTCACACTCTGGTTTTCTTTACTTTGAGTAGGGAAAGCAGTTGTTCTTAACAGCAGACATGTGCACTGGGTATGTACTGCTTGCCACCTGGCATAGTAAGAACTAGATGAGCTGTGAGTGGGAGAGATCTCACATTCAGCTTACAAACAGTGGGAGGAAAGCTCATTGGGAAAGATCAGTTCAGGTTTTTTTTGCCTAGAATTACATGTTCAAGTGTCAGCTGCTAAGTACCAGTTCTAGTGAAGGGACTTTCCCAGTGAGTAACACAGAGATTTCACTCTCACTGCACCACTTCTCTTAACTATCTCACAAACTTCTTGCTGCCTACAGCATTCTCTCTCCCATCCTAATCACATTAAGCTCTGTTCCCCAAAACACCTTACTCCATTAAAGTGAATGGGAGTCTTGCCACTGACTTCAATGGAGGCATGATTTCACCACAGGCAACTTTGGGTTTCAACATTTTCTTCCCTATATCAGAAAGCTAATCAGTATCCAGATCTATCACCTGTGTCTATATTTATCTAAATATAAAGTATCAAATCTAATTCAGTCTAATCAACTTCAACTAGAGTAGTAGGAGCCATGAGAAGCTTACTAAGATGAAGTAAAAGCTTTTGGCTGCAATATTGAATAACTTCCCCCAAGAAGCCAATCTAAATCCAAATAGTCCCCCCAACTGCTGGCTCAATGAAGTTCTTTGAGGCCTTGTCTACACTATGGGGGAAAGACGATCTAAACTATGCCATATGAGTTATGTTAGTAATGGAACTCAAGTCGACATAGCTTAGATACCGCGGGGTCCACAGTACACTATGTCGATGGGAGACACTCTCGTGTTGACTCTCCTTATTCTTCTAGTTCTGATGGAGTACCAGAGTTGATGGGAGAGCGATCTGTGGTCGATTTAATGGGTCTTCACTAGACCCGCTAAATCGACCCCCAGTGCATTGTTCGCCACAGTGTTGATCCCTGGTAAGTGTAGACAAGCCCTAAGTCTCCTGCGTCTCACAGCTAATTCTGAGAGGGAAATAGTTACTTTCCTGGAGACATTGAAAGGTTAATTAAGCACTTCCCTAACCAAGGCGGGAGTCTCTGTCGCTGCACAGTTCCATTACTCTGTGGTAATCAGGGCCCTGGTAATGATCTCTTTGGAAGTCTCCATCAGCATGCTAAATCCTTCCAAACTACTTAATACAGGGGTAGGTTCTTGTTACTGTCAAATTACACACACAAAACATCCCTGAGATGCCAGCAAAAACATAGAAATATCAGACTGGAATTCTGATTCCGACTGACTTTGTGGAAAATATTTAAAACACTCCCTTACCATAAAGCTTTTTACCATAATGTAACCCTTCTCACTTCTCTGCTTCAATAAACCGTTCTTTATAAATCATCCAGAAAACATGGGTGAAGTCATTGATTAGAAAGAGAGCGACTATAGTCACCTCTCACTCTTAATACACTCGATGCTTTAGATAACCTTTCCATGTAAATTCAAGTATTGGCTATATTTCTTATTTTCAGCACTGTTTGAGGTAATTGAACACCATATGCTGCTTACAAGGTTGCCCTATACTTTGCTTTTTCTGAGTTAAACCCGACTCACTGGAAAATTAAGTGGTGCCTGCAAAAAATATCGGGCCCATGCACACACCAAATCGATCTAAGTTAGTGGAATTTCACTGGTGTGACACAGATGTAAGGGCTTGATTCCATTAAGTGCTGAGCCCCCTCAACGGCCACTGACTTCAATGGGAGGTCAGCATCTTACAGGATTCAGCTCTAGGTGAGATGAGAATTAGACTCATCATCCAATTTCTAGAGAAGCCAAACCACCCATTTCAAACTGGCAAGCTGAGTTTTTTCCCCAGATGAATGAATGCTTGGAAACCCCACACACAATGTTAGTAAAGCATGCAAGAGTACAGGCAGTTTCAGCTGGGTGTAGCCTACGGTTTACAACCATGTAAATAGACCTGTGGCTCACTGGTACAAAGCAAAACAAACAAACAAAAACCCTAGCTAATAATAATGCCAGTCTTATCTTTTCCCTTAATTTAGAATCAAATTTATTTTTGGAAGCTCAATTTACTTTTTTTCCATGTTTCTGGTTAAAATTTAGAGAGGATTCTTTCTTCTTTCTAATTAATCTGTTAATAAATATACAAATATATCAAGGGTGCTCTGTAATAAACAAAAAAAATCCCCAAACAATAAAAACCCCACCTCAGTACAAACAATTGTTATACGCATGAAATGACAATCTAGTTTTGAAACTATAATGCAAATTAATTATACATATGGCACATGACATCTTAATATGAATCACTTTTGCATATATAAAATAATGGCACTGCTTCTGTAGGAGAGATTGCATGCCACCTTATCAAAAAAATAAAAAACCAAACCTCCAAAGAAGTCATGATGTCCTTGCCATACTAGATACTGAAATTGAATAATCTGGGAAGGAGATGGCAGATTTCCCCATTAAATATCTAAATAGGTATATTCCTATTTAGAGTAAGAATTAGAATGTGTAACATGCCAAAGCCTGTATTTAAAGAGGTCTTTGCAGAGACCCTATGTTCAGCTAGGATTCAAGAGGTGAATAGGCCTTGTTCTGACCCTCTGCTTTGATCAAATTTTATGCACAGTGCCCATTTAAATGCATCCTTCAAGAGACCATTCCGATTTACAATGGCTGATGGAAAACACTGTCAAAAACTACTTCAGGAATGAAAAATGTCTGAAGGAAACAAATATCCCACAGCATAATTGAGTTATGTATGTTCATGACGGGATGAGAATGTTGACATTGGACCATATTTACTGATGATGTAAACAGGTATAACTCCATTGATTTCAAAGCGTATGATCATATACAGCCCACGAACGTGTGACTTTCTACATATGAAACAGCCCTGTTCAGTGGGCCAGCACATATGCCACTTAAGCAGTCAAATTAAGTCATGCTTTGCTGGCCCTCTTGCACAAGGGTGAATTTCACCCGTGGCAATCTGCCTGAGAAATGTTACCAAGTTACAGTATGTCATTAAACAAACACTTATGGAGAGCTGCTAAAGATCTACATTGAGAAACACAACCTCAGCAATTTCATGCATAGTGGTACGAATAAAGCACAATATTAGACAATTCTAGCTGAAATTTTAACTGCTGAAGTTTCTTTAAAAAGGAAATTAAAATAAATGACTTTAGTGGGCTCTTCTCAGTTCATTAAGGATCCATGGTCAGTGAATGGGACTATTTTGCTTAACTGACTAAACATTTAACAGTTCCCATCCCATGGTGCATAGGGTCCTCATTGATTATAATTACATAATGAATTGTTTTTACTTAGATTTTTCCTTAAAGTGAAGTTGGATAGACTATTGCTGGTAATTCGATTTCTTGCTGATAATATATTCAATCAATTCAGTGTACGGTACTGGCTGCCATCTTAGTTTACACAAATACTTTACATAAATGGGATGTACAAAGGGGAGGGAAGCATGTGGCAATGCAGCAGCAGCTATTTTATGTTGTTGGAATAGTTTTCTTTCATTTTCTTTGATCTTTATGCAGTTTTCCAACTTCTTGTTTCAACAAGTGAACAATATTTCTCTTGGCATTTTTAATAAGCAGAGTTTAAACAAAAAGATGGATGAAGTAGAATCCAAAAGAGAACATCACATAATTTTAATTTGACTGTTAAAATATCAGCAAGATAGTGTAACATGCAACAATTATGGGGAAAAACAGGTTGTGCTAAGCTCAACATCTTATGATACATCTGAGAGCAGGGAAAGATAGAGCCCTATTCTGCAAGAAACAAAATATTGCCATCTTGTTTGATCATTTCCTACTGCTAAGTTTTGAAATATGTGTTTGAGTTGTGGTCACTGCATTTATTTGTCAACTTAACTAACAAGGTTCACTAGGGAACATACTCAAAATATGATTGATGGGGGGGAACAGCAACAGACAGCTTTGAAACTGAAGGATAACTGCACAGATTGTTAAGATAATAAAGAATAGAAGATTATTTATCAGCTCAAGTTTTCATGTCTTTTCCCACTCGCCCCAATAAAAATTATTGACATTATATATGCCTGGGCATTTAAAAAATAGAGATAAATAGTTTTGTCCTTTTGGGGTTCTCTCATTGTAGCCCCTAGTTGTAATCATTCTAAAATGTCACAGTTTGCCTATACCAGCAGATCCTGAATGCACCTGACAAACTCCACAGGGCTGAAAGGTGATTTTAAAAGACTCTGGTGTAATACAAACTCTACAGAAGCCCTTTTTTCTTTAACTCTATTTTTCTCTAGATGTTTATTCCTCACTTATGCTCATACCATGTAAATTTAGTATCATAAATGCCTTTGAGATGGAGTGACTAGATATTTCTGTATTTCCACTTAGTGAAGGTGCTGCAACTGGAGAAAATATGATTTCAACTAACATCCCTCCTTACATATAAGTGTCTTCCAGGTAGGAAATGGGAACTACCAAATTTATGCAAGTCTCAGGCGCTTATATCAGAAAGCAATGTCAATTTTTTAAATTTGGACCTGATTTTTAAAAATATTAAAAAGAAGAATAAAATGTATGCTTAATTATGCTCAAAAGACGTCAGTAGCACATTGCATCTGTGAGTTCCAGGCCCAGTTCCATGTGATTTTGATTTCCCCAACTCTCGATCTACAAGATGGACCAACACTATTACATCCCAGTCTTCATGTTAGCCTCTTGTTGATTTTTCGTTTCGTCTGTGGTCAGGAATTCATCACATGGTCCTGTTCCATTATCTGGCTGTTGTTTATTTACCAAGTGCACCATTTCTTGAGATTTGCTGGCTTCTCCATTCAGTCCACCCATCTTCTTGTCTGACACTGACCCTTTGCCATTGTTAATCACTAGCTTTTTCTTCTGCCCACATCTAGTAAAAATAAGCAACACAAATGGAGATTATGGAACTGGGAAGCACAACATACAGAATAGATTTTCTAGAAAGGGGGCAAAGGAAATAAAACTTGAGTCTGTCAATGGAGAAAAGCTAAAATATAATACATAAAGCTTTTGTCTTTAGTGGATATATTAAGTTTTTCAGGTGGGATATCCAAAAGTATCCATCACTGCCCTTATTCTGCTCCCATCGACTTAAGTGGGAACACAGTTCTTTTGAAAATCCCATCCTTCATATATTGCTCAGTTATTTTTAGAACTAGGTCCGAAGGTTCAACTTTTGGAACTGGTAATATTTGGATCCAGGGTTCCAACCTATCTCCAGTTATCCCAGAGGGTCACTTTTCTCTTCTGTTCTCTTTTTAGTGTGTCAGGACTAGAACCATGCTGACAGTAATGGAAGGGGTCACAATGCTATCATCAACAGTTTGGCTTGTTAAAGGCTATATTAAGGATGGAAAATAAAGACTGGGCTTAGATATTATGCTTCAGATTCTCAGCTGCGTCCTGGATGCAGCTAAGGATGAGATCACAAATAAGTCATTTGAGGCTTTCTGATCCTGGGACTGGTTCTATGCTGACCAATCCCTCATGTAGTTCTGAGCAGCCTTAGTACAGCTACAAACTATACCTGCTGACTATGGCCCCAAAAGGTTGATATGTCAACTGACATGCATTATACTGCATCAGCACTCTGGAAAAAAGGGGGTGGGAACAGCCACTGCTTCCCCCTAACACACCCTATGTTATGCTGTAGGAGGAGTGGCATAGAAGCTAGCTGTGCTGGTTTTATACCATTCAGGGATATCTCATGGAGCTGGTTAAACTGGCTTTCTGGTTATGTTGCACAGTTAAATATAATTAATTAAAGACACACACACGCAGCACTATTCTTTGAAAACAACTACAATGTTTATGTAAACGTGTTTTAAAATGCTTCCTGCTTTGGCTAAGTGAATTCCATTTGAACTACTAATTTGGCAGTTAAATTATTTCTCCATCTTTCGTTTGAATCAAGTATATATATTTTTTGCCAGACAGACATATGACAGCTGTTTTAGCCAATGTGACTGAGAGCAGATCCGCCTTGTCTCAATTCGCTATGTTTACATTATGCAACACATGTGAGCAAATTCAGCCCTGAATTACTCCCACACAACACCAATAGAGAAAATACTATACAGTAATGGGATTCCATGGGATGTGAGGCAGAGCATTATTTCTTTCCAAAATGATATCTAAAATGTGCAGCATTTCATCATGGATTGTGGACAGAAGGACCCTCCACAATCCATGAATATTGTGGAGAGGCTATTCAGACTGAAGGCGGATTCTTTACATAAAATATTCATTCATTTTGTTGGGGCTCTACAAGTCATGCTGGGCTTTGGGTCACACTATTTCAAAATATAACCCACATAGGAATTGTGAAAAAGGGAAAATTTAAATGATAAGATCAAGCTATTCCCTATTCACCAAAATGATCTACTTCTTTGGTTGGAATTTCTAAGACATTCTGTGGCACATAAACCTCTCAACTAGAGAGGCTCAGTCTCTTGAGCAATTCATCGAACATTTCTGTGCTTTAGGCAAGTCAAAGATTTCTTGTGAAAATTGGATTCTGAAGCATTAAAATATATACTTCCTGACCAGCCTGTGTGAGAAGGAGAATGAAACTATATGTGATTGGTTGGTTAAAGTTCAATTAAGTATTGGAAACACATCATAACTTAGCTGGTCATTTAAAAATATATGTGTGAAAGCCTTCCAAATTCTACTTTCTAACTCTCTAACAACTCTCTCACAAAACCCTTAGTATACTCCATCCTGCTTTTCAGCAAAGATCTCACAACAAAGTTGCTATTGTGAGATCATAAATTACTATTTTCATATTTCTAAGACTTATAATTTTTAGAAAATATTCTACAGTATACTTATTAGGTAGTATAAATTACTGTAAGTAATTAACACTAATTTACACTTGTCAAATAGATGAGCAAAAAGTTACCTATGATTTTTTTTAAAAAAAACCTGAATTTATTAACTTAAGGCCTGATCCAGTGTCCCTTAAAGTCAATGGAAAGATTCCCCTTCACTTCAATGGGTGTCGGAGCAGACCCCTCCTTCCTACTTCACAAAATTTGCCTCCCAGTCAGTACAAATTAGCAGGTGTGTGTTGTGTGTGTGTGTATACACACCTAGCATTATGCTGTATGTATCATTTAACTCCCTGAATTTCAAAGTAAAAATATGTTTTTAATTTTAAAAAGTAGTTAATAATTTATAGCTTCCAGATTGTTTCATTTCTGGACAGATTCTATCTGTATTTGATCATGGCTGGACCTCTCTGTTTCTATGGTGATTTGTGGGGTGGGGGGAAACAGAGGGAGGAGAAGAAGGCAGTCTCAGCTTTGTAGACATAGCAGAGTGACACAAATCAATAAACCATAACATTCACACTATAATTCCTAGATTAACTAATAAGAGGGAGGTTGTAGATTCTTGTGTGTTTTACCTTGTGTGACTGATAGTTTAGAGTAGCAATTTCTCTAGACTATCAAAGGAGCACACTTAATGTGGATCTAGTCATAGGGCCATAACCTCAGCTACTGTAAATCAGCACCACCTCTGTTGATTTGAACAGACCTATATCATTTTACACCAGCTGAGGACCTGGCCCTCAAATCACAGTCTGAGTTCACCCAATTTGCACTTCCCTGCCTCACATAAGCCTGCTTTAGTTTGCGGGAGGATCTAATCAAGGGTTCCCTCCCTCCAGCTTTAATTTCCACTATGGTATCCTGCTAGTGGAGATCACATTTCAATGGCCAACCTGGCTATGTCTCCTCCCTTTTAAGCATCACTCACTTTCTTGGGCATGCAGGCCCCAGAGGTGAGGGAATCACTGCTTTCGAGGCGGGTCAGTGTAAACCAGGAATTAATGTAGCTCATTGTGTACCATGACAAAAGTGTATGAGAATATTTGCACTGATGGAAAGTTCAAGTTTAAAATAAAAGTGGCAATCTGTTACCAACAAATAATAGTAAACCTCAGAACAGCTACTAAAAAGGGAAGAAAGACAGTCTTGTGTTTAGGACTTTGGTAGGGAGACCTGGTTTCCAGAGACTTCCTGGTTAAACTCGGGTAAGTCATGTCACCTTTCTGTGCCTCGGTTTCCCCATTTGTAAAATGGGGGCAAATAGCATTTATCTATCTCACAGTGGTGTTGTGAGGCTATTTTCACTAATGTTTGCATTTTGAGAGCCTCATATGGATGGTGCTGTAGAAAGGACATTATAATCTAAGAGAACAAGGAAGAAAAGTAGTGAACTTGACACTGCCAAGGAATATTCTGAATACTTAAAAGATTTCTGCTAAATTATTAGACCCTTTGCTTACTACAGGGTTTCCCTCAACCAATCCTAAAGCAAAGGTCAAAACTGTGGCTCATGTCAGCCAAGCTCCAAAGGACCTCCTCCTCCCCCTCCCAATTCAATTCTTCTCTCAATTCCAGCCTTCTAACTAAAGAACCATTCTTCCAGTTATCAGCACCAGCTTCAAATTCCCCCCAGCAGAACCCTTTTATAGTCTGCTGGAGGGGCTGGGGAATTGATTCTCTGCAGCTGATCCAGCTAGGCTCATTGCAAACTCCTGCTATCAGGATTGGCAGCTGTGACCCTTCTTTAGCTAGTGGGAGCAGGTGAATCCTGTCTCTACAGTCCTCTGGATGGGGTGTAAACAGCTTATCACACAGAGTAATTGTACTCTTGTGGCCTATGCAACACACACAGTGGATTTATATTTAGTTAACCTGGGGACCACCTTGTTATTTACTGTACATGCTTCTGTTCACATCCATCTAGCATATTATTAACTTTCATTGACCTCAGAGGAAGCAGGATCAGGCCATTAGTATGTAAAACACAGAGAGAAATTATTCCCTTACTCTGCCGTGCATAAGTTCAGTTTTTGTCACTGTGAAAACAACAAGAATAATGACCCATTCACCCACTGATTTCAATAGGGCTCCACATAAGTGCAAGGGTTCACTGCACAGCGCTCAGCACAGGACCGGAGCCTCAAACCTCAGCAATGTCTGATAACTACCGTTTATCACAAAAGAAGAGGTGTGCTGTTCACAGAGATTGCCACTGTGGCAGAAACTCTTCTCTGTGCTTTTCCAAAGCTACCAGAAGCTTCATAGATCTCTCAACAATAAAGACATCAAGGCAGCACGTTCTCCAACAATGACCTCCTCTATCCAAAGCTAGAAATGGGCTTCCTTACCTGCTCCGACTGTTGACAGCAATGCAGACTGCCAGAATCAATGTCAGCGCCAGAAGAGAAGCCACTATGATCAGCCATTCTGTGGGTGGAATTGGGAAATAATTTAGCTCCTATTCTAATTTGCAATTTGACACAGTAGCAGGAACGTGGACACTTTTGCATTCGTTTACAATACACCTCTCCCGTTACTGTCAGGGTTTTTTCTAATATGCAAGAATGTAAATATAATATGGTACTAACACAAGAGTGTAAGTAAAACTGTGCTAAGACATTACTGATAGTTACACTGAGCATGTGAATGAGAAATACATTTAATTATGTGAATGTCAAATTAAACGAAACTGTCGCTGAATGTTAACATCTGGAAACTCTATACTGTGAGACAGTGATTGGGCCTATAGCGGGGGAAAGGATTTGAATTAGTCATTTACTTCTTCAGTGGGAGAGAGAGGCCTGTTTTTGAGATATCTGAAACAATATGCAAATAGAGGTGACTTAAAAGCAAAGTGGAAGGTCTACACTTTTCTTCATTTTGCCATTTAAAGAGATCCTAAACCTTTAAAGCAGAGGTGGGCAAACTATGGCCTGCGGGACCCTCCTGCCTGGCCCCTGAGCTCCTGGCTCAGGAGGCTAGCCCCCGGCCCCTCCCCTGCTGTTCCCCCTCCTCCGCAGCCTCAGCTCGCCACGCCGCCAGCGCAATGCTCTGGGCGGCAGGCTGCGAGCTCCTGGGGCAGCGCAGCTGCAGAGCCCAGCCTGACCTGGTGCTCTGAGCTGTGTGATGGCGTGGCTGGCTCCAGCCGGGCGGCACAGCTATAGCACCGCCAGCCACTGGTGCTCCAGGCAGCGCGGTAAGGGGGCAGGGAACGGGGGGGTTGGATAGAGGGCAGGGGAGTTCAGGGTGATGGTCAGGGGGCGGGGGTGTGGATAGGGGTCGGGAAGGTCAGAGGGCAGGGAACAAGAGTTGAACAAGGGGCAGGGGTTCTGGGGGGGCAGTCAAGAATGGGGGGGTTGGATGGGGTGGCAGGGAGCAGTCAGGGGTAGAGGTTCTGGGGGCTGTCAAGGGACAGGAGAGGGGGGGTGGATGGGGCAGGGGTCCTGGGGGGTGGCCATTGGGGTGAGAAGCGGGGGGGGGTCAGATAGGGGGCAGGGCTGGGCCACACCTGGCTGTTTGGGGAGGCACAGCCTCCCCTAACCGGCCCTCCATACAATTTCCGAAACTCGATGTGGCCCTCAGGCCAAAAAGTTTGCCCGCCCCTGATTTAAAGGGACATTTTGAGGTCAACTTTGCCCTCTGTTTTTAGTTTCAGAAAAACTGGATCATACCAGCAGAAATCTGGAAACAATAGAGAAAGGCTTTTTTGTTTGTTTGTTCCCAGTTAATAAATTCCCCTACACTGTTTACAATCCAAACATTGCATCATAGAGCTACTACACGAGAACCTGACACGGACTGTAAATTCTGAGCCTGATTCTGAATTCATTCACCCCAGTGTATATTGAGAGTAAATCCACTACATCAGTGGAGATATACCAACGTAAGTGAGATCAAAATTAGGCCCAACAGTGAAGCTACTTTTATGGGATTACTTCCCATGATATTGTGTTGGGCATGATACAATGGAGGTAGAATCTGGTCTGATATCCGTCTAACACATAATCATACACGTTGTAGATAATATATTAGAAAAAGCATCTGCGACATATGCAGAACCTCCCAGTGCTCTAGATCTCTTCTTTCACCTTTCCAAGTGTCCTGAATATTTTGCTTCAGAGTTGAAGAACCGAATGCATTGGCAGGAATGTGGATTAGCTATGATCTCCTAGAATAACCTCTTCATCTCCATATCTTTAATTCTGTGATCAAACTGTCAAAGGCAATGGCTTGAGATACCAACCTGGTATTTGGGCTGATCTCGGCTGTGAAGCTGTTTTTGGTGTTGTGACCTGTCCAGATGGATTTGCTCTTCTGCCATCGTGTTTGTTAAGTGTAGAACCTAGACAACAAAAACATCCATTATGACCAACAAGCCTAGAGGATATTTAACAGGCAGCTACAAACTACAGACTTGCCCTTTCACAATTAAAAGGATGATATGACTACAAAGTTCACCTTGAGTCCAGAAAGAAGGAGTTTACACTGCAAAATCTCATACTAAAGTAGCATAGAAAAACGTTGCACAGCCCACAGCTCATCAAAATACGTTCATAATCAGTATAACTAAGGCTGGCCTCGTTATCTTGAATAATATGATTCATTTTTCTCAACAATAGCATCTTGCTGTTTTGGGGCGGTTTTCACTTTTTATCATGCTACTGTTTCATGGGTTAAAATGTGAAGCTGGTCAGAAAATTTCCACTCAAAAAATGCTGTTTCATCGAAATAAAAATGTTTTGCAGAAAGGTATTGATTTTGATAAAATTTTTGACAGGAAGGTTTCTGAGGTCCAGGAAGGACTGTCTGGTCAATTCCCGGGAGAGAGAGAGAGAAAGAGAGACAGGGAAATTGAAAACCTGACCTTTTAAATCCAAAAATGGAGGTTTCAACACAAATCTGTTTCATGAAAACTTTCTAAAGGTTTTGTTTTCATTCCAATATGCAACAAAAAAACAAATCTGGAAACCTCAAATGTTCATGGAACAGAATTGTCATTTACTGGCCAGCTCTAAATGTGATAGCTACTATCATGAAGAGGTCTCAAACATCAGAATGTTGTTCCTAATGGAAGGATTGTCCTCTGCCCACTTGTAGATAGATCCCTTTGCCTTTTTATCACCATCATGCACCTACAACAAGTATTTTCTGGCCTTATATTGGATGAGACTCTGCCCTTAAACAACCAGCGGGTATGCTGTTGAGCAACGTGTGAGGTACTCTCTCCAATCAGGCCAAGCACGCTGTCCTCTCAGCACTCTCAAAGCCTTCTGTCTGGGGAGCAAAAGAAGAACTGGATTGACTAGGACCCAAGTGATTCCATGATTTCACGAATCAAATGGAGTCAGCCACATAGCAATTTACTGACCAGAGTAAGTTTATAATCCATGCTATATGTGGATTTTACATAGGTATTGATCAGTCAAATCAGTCTGTAAGGTCACAAACATTGCTATAGTGACATCAACTGATCACATTATAGAGATAGGTCCAGTGGGTTAAGCTTGGAGCAGGTATCTCTTTCGTGCTGAACCAGGACATCACCATGTCTGCTGGTGTTGGTTTTATGAATGGTCCTTCTAGACCCTAGGCACTATGTTTAGCTGCTGATATGGTTACAGTTCTCAGAAGTTTCATGTTCCAGAAGTGAAGCTTCTGGAAGACAATCTTGACATTGAGTTGTGAAGTTGAATTAGGTCTGCAATTCAACCACATACCCCCACTCTGGCCTATTTCTCATTAAATAACATTTGCTGGGCCGTGCACCAATCAACTTAATTCTTGAGTATGGTAACATCTTGGCCTCCTCTATCCCCACGTTGGTGCCCGTTTCCAGTCAAGCCACCCCGCCACACACACCTATATACCCTTTGAATTCCTCATAGATTCTCCCTTGTCCAGTTTAAACTTCCCCTCATCCTTCAAAGCACTTCACGACTCCTCTCTGGCCAGAATCTCTGACCTCATTTCCTAATAATAGCTGGCAAACACACAACTAAGAAGCACATTTTTTTTCTGCTGTTAACAGGCTCTTCATGAAACCTCCAGATGTTTTTACTTATGTCTGATGGGCTACTTCATGCTATCTCATGGGAAATTCATAGCCCAGCAACAAGAACTGAGCACTGAATTTAGCATCTGGTGGAGCTGAGCTGATCTCCAAGAAAACAGACAAAGATGGTTAAACTATTACGGTGGATTGGGTACCCACAGACTTCAAGAGACATTGTTACCTGATCAGAGGCCCTAGCATGATGCTCCATCCACAAAACCCCTTTGAACTGAACCGCTAACTTTTGTATAGCAATAAAGTCCAGATATTTACTAAAGATTTTAGCTGTCTAGAACTATACTATCAACACCACATAAATATTCACAACATCTAGGATTCAACTATGAAACTTAACATCACAGGCCCAGATTATCCCCTCCATAGGAGACACTTGCAGGAAGTAGACAGACAGGGGCACTAGGGACCTCTGTGAGGTTCATCTTATGACAACTTAACCATATTCTTTCTTTGTGAAGAATCAAATATGTATTTGGATTTCTTCAGTGCATGGTTTCACTATCCCACTGTGGCTTTTGGGCAAAAGATCAGTCATATTTATGATGTCAGACCACAGCTGAACATGACTAAATAGGAAAAGCAAGTCAAAACATGAGGCATAGCAAACTGAGCAAAGAATTTCTTCAGAATGAGCCTTTAAATATGTTCTATTAACACGTGAAGTAAACTTTCTTTGTCATCCCATTCATGCTTTGCAGGGCCCATCTTATGAAAAAAAGACTTTCCTTCACTCCCTCAATGTACACACACATTTTCCACTGTGATAGAGTTGTGACCTAGCATTCTCTCTGCTTTGCTATAATGCCATAGCACTAAAAGAAATGGACGCACAGCCTTAGCATAGCAGGAAAAATGTTGGGAAGAGAGTCTCATGAGCTCTGTTGCTCCGTTAATATCATGTCTTTGATTCTGCTAAGAATCTAAATTGATGATCCTTGAAAGTTACCTCAGCACCAGCTCTGTCAGATTCTACATATTCAAAAAAGAAAAGCAACCAAACATTTCTACACAGTGTCTAATGTACACACAGTAAATTAGGGAGACAGCCTAATAAAATGGGGGACTGGAAGTCAGGAGGCATGACTTTGCAAGTTACACATTTAAATATGACAAATAGAAAAATAAAATAGCATTTTATAAAATATATTTATTAAATTTATAATGCTTGAGGCATCTATGCTCTATAAAATTTGGCCTCTAAAGGCAGTTTTGATCTGGTTTATTTTGCTGAGTTTGTATCATGTTGTTCATTAAGATCTGAAAAGACTGAGGGCTGGGTTCTGATCTCACTTAAACCAATGTAAATAACACTGCCTCCACCAAAGCCAATGGAATTATGACAGTGTAAAACTGGTGTGAGAAGAGAGTAACATCTAGAACATTTAATGTAACCCAGATAGAGTCCAGAAACTATAGAAACCAAATCAGTGTGTCTCCACCATAGAACCAACTCATTTTTTATATTCAAAGCTCCTTTCAAAATCAAATTAAAGAGTTTATTTGATGCAAATTCTAACTCTTTTAAACTATTAATGTTTCATGACTATCTTCAAAAATACTTTGATGAGAGATGTGGTATTAATACATGTTCATATTATTGGTTGTGTGCAAAAAATGGCAGTAGACTGTTGGACAAATTCTCTGCTGGCACGACTGTATTGACTTCTATGGAGTTATAACAGCAGACAATTTGGCGCAGCATGACTGAAAAGGTGTAGCATTTAGGAAAGCCTCTGGGTTGATCATTTAAATGAAAAGTACATTTGGGCATACAGGATAGCCTCTTAATTTTCCAATATAATTACTTGCATGTTACAACATGGAACAACAACATTCACACTGTGATCAATGCATGTTATTTCTTTATACAAACTAGCTCTATCAGAAACAAGCTTTCAAAACTGAAGCAGCTGAGAAATTAAAAGCCTATTGCTTCCTAGCACCCATAGATGCTAATAATCACTGATGGGTTACTTAACAGCAAAATTACTCGGGGGGGGGGGGGGGGGAAGGGGGAGGCGGAAATGCCATACTGGAAATTCTCTTCCATGGTACATGTTCATAATATCAGGACGGTGGGGTGAGGGCTGGTTGAACTTTGCTAGCATTCAAAATAACTGCCATTGGATGACAGAGAATAAAATGATCAGGAAGATGGAACAAAAGTGTTCTGTGTTTTGAGCCTTTAGTATAGAAAATACTATCTCCACAGCTTGACACTGGAACACTAGCAATTGCAATCAGATGTTTTGTTATGCATTTATTTCTCTGATGTTCTAGAGAGGATCCCCAGAGTTGGTGAAAGGAAGAAATGCTACTCATCTTCTCTGAGAAGAAAGATTGCTGGAAACACTAGTCTTAAATCATCTCACTTCACATAGTTCTACAATGAAAACACTTTCTCTTTCATGCACATTGGTAGGAGGCTATTTTCTAGTTTTCAAAACTCCAATTAAAAGAAAAAACTTTTAGATCATAACATTTCCCCCAATACTTTACAAATTTACCTTTATATCGGGAGACATTAAAAAAAGGGTGAAGGATTAGACAAAATTATTGTAATTCACTGTTCTTACTGGTGGCTGTAGAAGCTGGTCCTCTGCCATGTCCAATTTCAATGTCAGAAAAAACTCCAGGTATCAAATTATCAATGGGATTGTTTGTGGGATATTCGTCTTCATTATCCCCTCCAGGTTGAATGCCAGGTGACAGTGGATCTTTAGTTGAGTCTTCATGTTTGATACCATCATTGGAGACCACTGCTGTTATGATGATGCTTGAATCAATTTTAAACTTAATATTTGTAGAACCACCACCACCATTATTTTCCTCTTCTGGTCCTGTTGTATCTACAACAGGTCTTGGTCTTTTACATTTTTATTGTATTTAGAGCATAAGAAGAGAGAGCCTTCTGCTTTCTTTCACATTGTCACTGGTTTCTCAACATTTTAACCAACACCCCCTTGCTGTTATTCAGGATTATGATTTAATTTAGAAGAGTCTCAGTGACAATGGACACAGAAGCAAGACCACCAAATAAAACAACCCAAAACAGACAAACCCAAGAGCAAGAAGCAGCCAGGAGTGATTACAGATGCTGAGCACTGGAACTATGTCCAATAAATATGGCAATTATTTTTTCTTTAGAAATTTCACTAATTTATTTTATGTTCTTGTCCTTAAGTGATACTGCTTAGAACAGGCTTCAGTGACATAAAAGGCACACACAACGTATGAAGGTCTGATGGAATGGCATGGAGAATTTATGATATTGCAATTATTTTGTAAAATCCTGTCCCGGATCCTCTAGACAGTGCTCTTCTATAAAGGGGTTACTGGTGAGCCACAGGAGCAAGCCATCAGAAAATTTCACCCAAAACACCATCACCGCACCAGATTTATATCCCCCCAATTACAAGCACACCAGAACAGAAACTCAGAGATGATAATCTAAAGGTTAACAGGAATGCAAGATCAAAAATGAGAGCACTTGGCATCACCAAGCTGTACAAAATGATAGAGTAGTAAGAAGAATGATTATTAGACCACCTCGCATTACCTAAGGAGACAAGGAGAATAGCCCTCATGCAAGCTCATTATGGACCAATCCAACAACACAAGGAGGAAACTCTTAACACAAAAAGAAACAAGTCAAGAATAAACTAAAACAAAAATAATTTCACAATATTACAGAAAATTTTGATTAGCCGATTTCCTGTAAACAGGTACAATAATATGCCATAACTCACTAAGAGTTATCAATAGACTTTTAGCATATTATAAATGGCAAAATAACAATTAAAACTATCTCATCCAAAAAAGAAGTAACAAGACTATAATTTATTATTCTTACTGGTACCTGTATGAGAAGATTCATTTTTATGTTCAGTTTCACTTGGAGGAATGATTCCAGGTAGCACATCATCCCTAGAGATAGCTGTGAGATACTTGTCTTCATTGCCCCAGCCAGGATGAACACTGTGCAACAATGGATCTTGGGTTGAGTCTTCATGTGTGGCACCATCATTGGAGACCACAGCTGTTATAATGATGGTGAAGCAATTGGGAACTTAATAATTGCAAAAGCACTAGCCACGTTAGTCTCATCTTCAGTGATTGCCTCTATGCCTGGCCTTGCTCTTTAAAATTTCTGCTGTATTTAGAGTATCAGAGGAGAGAAGCTCAGAAGGCTTTTGAGCCACATTTCTCACCTTTTTAACCAACACTGTTCGGATTACTGTGGCTTAACAGAACCCTAATGATAATGGACATGGAAGCCTGAGCAGGGAAAGCAGAAGTATCTACTTATCTCTAGAACTCAGGTCTGATCTCAGCCAATGGGAAAAAGCAGTCAGATAAGCTCACAAATGCAACAGCACCTCACCAAATTTATCTCGGTAAATCAGAATGTCATTAAAGCACAACAATGAGACAGAAAATATTTAGGCTGCTGGTAGTATAGGATAAAAAAATGGGATTTTGGAATTACCAGGCTCTATCTTTGACATATGTCTAGCAACCTGGCTTGCCAAGACATTTAGGGATTTCCCCGGTTTAGGGGAATCCCTGGTTGTCACAGAATAAGGAGAAAGCAAAATATACAATCAAATTCAATTCAAGGCTCAGATTCACAAATACATTTTTGAATCTTATTTTCACTATTCAGTACGTTCTAGTCAGCACACAGAAAAAGGCAGAGGAAAGTTCAATATACAGACCCAGAAAAAAAAAGAAGAAAATTTAAAAAATAAAAATTGTTGTGCAACTGATTCCATGCAATAAGGTCAAAAACACCGTCACCACACCAATGCACCTCTGTGCTGAGAATTTAGACTTCCAACAAGGTATGATAGTGAATAAATTGTATGCAGAAGAAATAATGTCTCATTACACACAGGGTGGTGAAATTAATATAATTCATTATTCTTACTGGTACCTGTATAAGACTCATCTTCATTTTCCGGAATAAGTCCAGGTATGACATAATCCCTGGAGGTATTTGTGGGATATTTGTCCTCACTGCCCCATCCTGGTTGATTATCTGGAGGCAGTGAATCATGGATTGAGTCTTCATATATGGCACCATCATTGGAGGCAACAGCTGTTATGACAATGGTTGAATCAGCTGTGTGATATTTGCAAAAACACTATCCACATTATTCTCATCTTCAGTTCTTTGCTCTATATTTGGCCATAATTTTTTGCATTTCTACTGTATTTAGAGCATTAGAAGAGAGGGCCTTCTGCTTTCTTTCACATTGTCATTGGTTTCTCAGCTTTTCAACCCACACTCTCTTGCTATTTCTCAGGATTATGGTTTAATTTGGAAGAGTTCCAGTGACAATAGACAATAGACATAGCAGCAAGACCGTCAAAATACTCAGAGCAAGAAGCAGTGACATCTTACCCTGTAACTTAGGATTGATTATAGATGCTGAACATTGGAACCATGTCCAATTAGTATGACAATGATTTTCTCTTTTGAGATTTCACTGATTCATTATTGTGATAGTCCTTAGGCGACATTCCTTAGAACGTTTCAGTGGCATAAAAGGCACACACAACATAAAATGGTATGATGGAATGAAGAATTTATGATACTCTAATTATTATGTCAAATCCATTCCCTGATCCCTTTATAATGCTCTGCTATAAAGAGATTGCTGATGAGCCATAGGGACAATCGTAGAATCATAGAATATCAGGGTTGGATGGGACCTCAGGAGATCATCTAGTCCAACCACCTGCTCAAAGTAGGACCAATCCCCAACTAAATCATCCCAGCCAGAGCTTTGTCAAGCCTGACCTTAAAAACCTCTAAGGAAGGAGATTCCACCACCTCCCTAGGTAACCCATTCCAGTGCTTCACCACCCTCCTAGTGAAAAAGTTAAGCCTTCAAAAAACTCATCTAAACCACTAACACCTCCACAGATTTACATTGCCGCATTGTAAGTGCACTAAAACAAACTTAGTGATGAAATATAAAGGTTAATAGGAAAGCAAGATACAAAAATGTGAGGGTTTGCCATTACTACACTGTCAAATGATTAGTAAGATATTCAATAAGCATACTTTATGAAAGAACAAAACTTCCACTGTTCTTGGCGGAAGAGTCTCTAATAAGTATCTAATACAGAGAATCAGAATAAAAAAAACTCCATCATGCCAATATCCAGGAAGAGAGAGAGTAGTGAGAACAGCAATTATTAAAACATCTAGCACTATCTATGGATATCTGGCAACTTCTCCTTGGTTCACATTGTGAAAGCTTATTATGAAATATTTTATTTGAGAACTGTGCAGAAGAAATAATATCTCATTTCACAGAGAGTGATGAGATTCATCTTCGTGTTCTATGTAGCTAATCATCCATAGTGGTATTCGTGGGATACTTGTCTTTACTGTCCCATCCTGGATCCACATGGGTGAGTATACTATGGGATGAGTCTTCACGTTTGGCACCATCACTGGCAATGGCAGCTTTTATGATGATGGTTGAATCAGTTGTGAACTTAATATTTGCAGAATATTCTCATCTTCAGCTCTACATTTGGCCATTAAGTTTTATATTTTACTGTATTAAGTTTGTAGGAGAAGGAAAGCAGAGACCCTCTATTTTGCTCCACATTATCATTGGTTTTCTCAACTTTTAACCAACACCATCTTGCTGTTTGGGCACTATGATTTGGCTGAATTTATCCATGCTGATAACTTAGATAGATGTCTTAGCAAGAAAAGATATAGCAGCAGCAAGTTGCCTCTGTAATCCAAGTCTTATCTCAGTTACTGAGTTTGAGGACTGACCATTAATATGATAGTGAACAATAATTTTCTCTTTTGGGATTTCACTTTTACCTATACGTTATGTGTGAATCTTGCTTTTCATTATTCAGCAAGCTTTAATAGCATAGTCAGAGAAAACCCCAATACATCAACTCAGAAAAATGCAAACAACCTAGGAAATTTTAGATTCTATGCTAATGATTATCACAGTACCACTCTAAACCAAATTTTATCAAGAGACTTTCAATAGAGTATCATAATAAAATTACACAGATGTAGAAGTAGTGTTATTCCTTCCAAATAGGGAGTAAATGAACTATAGGGTGGGATTTTGAAAAGTATTCAGCATTGGTCAAACTCTTCTCCTGTCAAAATAAATAGTAAAACTCCTACTGATTTCAATGAGAGCAGATTTAGGTCAATGCCGAGTGCTTTAGAAATTCTTACGCATAATTAATTATTCTTTCTGGTACCTGTATGAGAAGATTCCTTTTCCTGATCTTTTTCACTTGGAGGAATAATTCCAGGCAGCACATCATCCCTAGTGACATTCGTGGGATACTTGTCTGCATTGCCCCAACCAGGATGAACAGTATGCAATAGTGGATCTTGGGTTGAGTCTTCATGTTTGGTCCCACCATTGGAGACCATAGCTATTATGATGGTGGTGAAGCAATTGTGAAATTAATACACACAGAATCACTCTTTATATTACTCTCTTCTTCAGTTCTTCTCTGTACAACAGGCCTTGTCCTTTCATATATCTACTACACTTAGTAGCATAGAAAGAGTATAAAGGTTTTGCTCCTCTTTATTATCTCAGTTCAGAAAACTGCCCCACTGACATCAACAGGACTTAAATTCATACTTAAATGCTCTTCCGACTCAAGATACATCAGTAGTTTTCTAAATCTTTTTACCAGCACCATACTATTTTTCAAGACTGTGTCTTGGCTGACCATAAATGCAGTGAAAATGGGCACAGAAGCAAGAACAAAGAAGAAGTAGCTGCAAGAATTTGGTCCCATAATTCAGGTTTGATCAGACACTCAGAATGAGGATTATGTCTCATTAACAACAACTGTTAATTTTCTCTTTCAAGATTTCACTGTTTCATTTAGTTACACTCCCTCCAGACAAGTAGAGTCTGACCATGGGTGGGAGCAAACCTGCTTCTGTAACTTAAAGGACACATAACAACATGTAAGAAAATGATGGAATGAAATGGGCAATATTTAATTTGATATTCCTGCTGTATTTAGGTGGTGTTGCACCAAACACGTCATCGTGTGCGACCACTCACATATTCAAAGTTAAGAATGTTCTTAAGTGTCTGCTGAATTGGGGCTTTAGAGCATAAGAACAGAAAAGCAGAGAGGACTATCTATTTTCTATAGCATTATCACCATCACTGGCCATGTTCCTGTTCAGGGGCAATGTTTTCAACAGAAATCCTCTGACAATAGAGGTAAAAGCAACAGCGAGAAGAGAAGAAATAGCAGCATCAGCTTGCCTTTGTAACTCAGTTTGATCTCAGTTACATGGCATGAAGACTGAATCACAAATATGGCAGGGAAGAATAATTTTCTTTTGGGGGCATTTCAATGCTTTATATACATTACAGTGCTTGTCTCCAGACAGGCAGATTCTGACAACTGAGACAAGCCATTTCATTTCAATTTTCTCAAATCTATGAGTTATTAGTAAGTATTATCTGAATTGTTTGAACTAATCCTATTCAGATTACAGTTTGTCTCGTTGATAAGCTCAAGGTTTAACTGACCACCATATTTGGGGTCAGGAAGAAATTTTCCCTCAGGTCAGATTGGCAATGACTCTGAGGGTTTTCACCTTCCTTTGCAGCATGGGGCACGGGTCACTTTTGGTTTGAACTAGAGTAAACAGTGGATTCTCTATAACTTTAAGTCTTTAAATCATGATTTGAGGACTTCAGTAATGCAGCCAGAGGTTATGGGTCTATTACAGGATTGGGTGGGTGAGGTTCTGTGGCCTGAGATATTCAGGAAGTCAAACAAGATGATCATGATGGTCTTTTCTGGCCTTAAAGTCTATGAATCTATGAAATGTTTGTGAATATCAAACCACATGACACACAAAAAATAGTCAATAATCAATGGCTATAAATCACATGGTGTTCTTTCTGTTTCCAGGGTGGGTCACAGAAACTTTCAAATAATGGGTCAAATGAATAGCAAATAATAAATGTCCAGTGGGGATTTTCAGGTGAATAATTATTAGTGCTAACATTTGTTAGTCCTGTTTTATTCTCTTCTGCAAGCACAGAGAAACCAAAGAAAATACCAACACCTTTAAAAACCCAAAAGAAAAGACAACAAAATAATCAACTGAATAATCAAAATAATCCAAAAAAACTGGAAATTTTGACCTGATGATTCCATGCAAAACTGAGATTTATCAATAGACTTTAAACTAGGTATTATAGTGCTTATAGGGCAAATCTGTGGCGGGATTGGGGGTTTTAAGTGCTACAAGAATACAAGTAACAAGTTTTAAGCTTGTTGGAGATTGTCCCAATGAAAGATGGCAATAGCAGAAAAGGTCATAGTTGCAGCAGTGACAGAAAAAGTAACAGCAGCAACTTGTTCCTCTCTCACTCATCTTTGATAGATGCCAATTAATAGGCAGAGTCTGTGGCTTCTGGATTCAGACAAGTGGAAATTATCATTTTTTTTAAGATAGTACCTCATAGACGCTAATGCCAGGGGGGACCATCATGATCATCTCCTGCCCATCACAGCCAACAGGACCTCACCCACCAATACCTGTAATAGGCCCATATCTGGCTGAGTTACTGAAGTCCTCAAATCTGAGTTATTACAGAGAATTCTTTCCTGGGTGTCTGGCTGGTGAGTCTTGCCCACATGCTCAGGGTTTAGCTGATCGCCATATTTGGGGTCGGGAAGGAATTTTCCTCCAGGGCAGATTGGCAGGAGCCCTGGGGGGTGGGTTCGCCTTCCTCTGCAGCGTGGGGCATGGGTCATTTGCTGGAAGATTCTCTGCATCTTGAAGTCTTTAAACCATGATTTGAGGACTTCAATGGCTCAGACACAGGTTTGATACAGGAGTGGATGGGTGAGATTCTGTGGCCTGCATTGTGCAGGAGGTCAGACTAGATGATCATAATGGTCCCTTCTGACCTTAAAGTCTAGGATTCTATGATTCTATGAAATCTTGATTTAAAGACTTCAAGTTACAGAGAATCCGCCATTTACTCTACTTCTCTGAATAATTATAGATTTGGCTCCAGGTAAGTTGCCTTTGTTTGTGAGAATGGT